CAAAATTAGCATTTTTGACAAAGACGAAAACGTCACGTTCTGCAGTCCCTTTTGCACTTTGGAAACCCCTTGTCCATGGAATAGAGCAATTCTCCCCAAATGAGAACTACTAATTTACTTGACTGTTCTTTTGCAGGTTTCTGATACAGAACAGGGGAATAGAACAGAGGGATAGAAAAGGGATAGAAAATTCTTGCCTGTGAGCAAGAACTCAAGGCCAGAGCTCACTTGCCCTCACCATGGGTGGCAGCTGCCCACCAGGTGGGACAACTCGGCTCTCTTCCCACCAGGACCCGGTGCAAGCTCTCTGCACCCCCTCTCTCTTGCATGGCACATCTTGAGCAAGGTATGTTTGGAATGGGTCTGACCTTCTAAGAAATGATTTCTTAGCATTGCCTTTACTGCTAAGCAAAGGCCCTTCTGCCCATGTACTTGCCAAGTTGCAAGGACAACCTAGGAAAGGGCTTGATAACCCAACCAAGTCCCTTGTGGCTGCTGGCCAAGGCTGCGGAAGGACTGATCCAAATAGCAACGCAGGGAGGAGATGGCGACACCACACAGGCAGAAAACAACACATATGCCCAGTAAACGTGGTGAGGTCGAGGCCTTCTGCACCACCCGAGACCTGGACAAGGCTGAGAGAGCTGGGCCTCTTCAGCCTGGAGAAGAGGAGGCCGAGGTGGGACCTGAGCAGTGACTATAAACACSTCAAGGGAGGCAGTGAGGAGGATGGGGCGGCCTCGTTGCAGTGGTGGCCACCGACAGAACTAGAGGAAATGGCCACAAACTGAAGCACCGAAAGTTCCACAGGAACTTGAGGAAAAATCTCCTAACAGTGAGGGTGCCAGAGCCTGGAACAGGCCGTCCGGAGAGGCTGTGGAGTCTGCTTCTCTGGAGACCTCCCAAACCTTCTTGGATGCAGCCTGTGCCCCGTGCTTTGGGAATCCCTGCTGGAGCAGGGGGTTGGACTAGATGATCTCTAGAGGTCTCTTCTAACCTCAGCCATTCTGTGATTCTGTGACTCTATGGGCAAGGTCAGGCTGCCCAGGCTTCAGGGAGGCTCAAACTAACCCTGCTTAGGAAAAACAATGCGTATGGAAGAAAAAATCCAGCAAGTAACACTTCTTCAACAAGCATGAGCCACGGCAGACAGAAGCCATTATAAATTASCCATCTTTAGCCAAAGCCAGTGGAAGGCTGTTAATGTCAGGTTTTATTTAGGTGCAAAAGTCAAAAGCTAGTCTGCCAGTTGCTATATATAAACCTTACTAATATACGTCCTACGTCTGCTGTATTTATTTTAAATCAGGTGCTTAATGATTTTGGTGCTCTGCTTTTTAAGGATTCATCTCGGCACCTACTTCTCTTTTATAAATAACAYGCGAGGCAGGAGTGCAGCGTTTTCATTAAACTGGTCTGCAGCTGAATGCTATGAGAAAGACAAGGAGAAGAAACATTAAAAAAAAAAAGTTTATGACAATAATGATCAGAAACCTTCAAATTTTCTCCCCTCCGTGAACATTTTATGTTTGTAGCTATGGAAACTACTTAGGAGAAAGCTAAAAAAATGTCCGTACATTTAGTCAGAGAATGATCTGGATATATGAAAGTCCTAACAATGACAGAGACCTACAGACACAAGGTGAAAGGGAAGTGTAAATTGAAGATGACAACACTAGTGTGCCTGACAACATGTACTCCCCAGACAGGCCAAATTCGCTTTTATTGCCGTGGCGCTCAAGTCAATGAATTGCAACGGGAACGAGTTTGACGCTTTCTATTGCTTTTGATAAAGCCATTACAAAAGGGTGTTTCAGCCTCTCAAAGAAGTCTCTTACGAGCGTGTTCCCCGGCATCAGTGCAACATGTAATGGCCAACACAGGCAGCGCGCTATTAAGGTAATTTCCAGCACATCTCGCACGCTGCTATTTGCCCGAGCGGGTCCCTGCAGATCCACCAGATACACCTCTGTGCTCCCCGCTGCCCGGCGGCGCTCGGGGCCTTTCCAAGGCTTTCCCAAGCTCCCTGGACGCACCATTTGCCCCTGGATCCCCCCGGATTGCAGGCTAACGCGGTGCAGCTGATGCTGCGACCAGCACTCCATGTATCCCAGCCAATCTTTGCCTAGGAAGCACCGGCGAGCGGCAGCACCATGAAGTGTTAAACSGAGTAAGGAGAGCTGAGCTAATCATGGTGAAAAGCACACGGGCCGTAAGCCGATCAGGGGGAGATGAGGCCTCCATGCGTTAGGGGGAATTACTGGCCCAAGGGAGGCAGCGCTCTCGCCCTGGCTTCCCCCGTGCATGAAGCTGTCACGATTTCAACATCTCGCTGGCCTGCAGCCAAAGATGCTTCCTCATGAGATGGTGAGACCCTTGGGACGAGCATCCGCGTCCCCCTCTGCACGTGTGGACGGAGCCTGAGCCGTGATCCAAGGAGCGCAGCTGGGAGGAAGCCCCGCTCCTCCCTCCAGAGCGGAGACTCTCAGAACCACCTCTCAGAATGGCTGAGGTTGGAAGAGATCCCTAGGGATCACCCAGTCCAACCCCTGCTCCAGTAGGGAAGCCCAGAGCACGGGGCACCCAGTTACACCCAGGCAGGTCTCCAGATCTTGGGAAGATCTCCAGAGCAGGAGTCTCCCCAGCCTCCCTGGGCAGCCTGTGCCAGGGCTTGGGCACCCTCACAATGAAGAAGTTCTTCCCCATATGGAGATGGAGCTGTCAGGGTTTCAACTTGGACCCTTGCCCCTTGTCCTGTCACTGGCCACCACTGTGAAGAGCTTGGCCCCTTCCTCCCTACATTCACCCTTCAGGTATCTATACATACTAATCAGGAGACTGCATTAACTAGGACTTTGCAGCAGAACCCACCCTAGCTACCAAAGACCTTCATTTTTCATCCGCCAGCTGCTCTAAGACTGAAAAATCAGAAGAAAACAAACAGAAACTGAGCAATGCAACAAAACCACCAGCAATGGAACGGGAATGGGAGAGCCCTTTGTGGAAGCAGAGCTCCTGCAGCCTGCCCGGCATGTCGGGATGAATGCATTTGTGACAGTCTTTCCTCACCTTAGAGGAGGTCCTTAATGAACAATCCCTCAGCCCAGCTAATACACGGCCAGCCCAAACCTTCAGTCTCTAATCCCTGTGCTTCCATCTGCAGCGTTTCCYACCTTGGCTTCTGCTTGGAAATGCATGTTGAAAGGGAGGGAAGGCCGCACGCTATTTGGGAAAGGAGAAGGGGGGATGATAAACCAAAGCCAGGGCGATTTTGCAGGTCCCGCACTCCAGCTAAACCTTGCCGGGCCGTCGCCGAGCAGATAATCTTTCTGTGATTATGGCCAACCCCTCCCGTTGCTTAGCAACACATAATTAAGGAATATGTTTTCAGATCCGCTTTGCAAGCTGGCCATTACCAGATGAAATTACTGGAGCAACAAATGTCATCCTCATGCAAATGAGCGTTTGGAGGGGGAGAAGGGAGACGCTGGAGCAGGACCCCGCAGCACGGTTGCTGCTTGCAGGGCACTGCGAGCAGGGGGCAGTTTTGGGGGGGACGCAGCCCCCCGCTTCAACAGGAGGCCGAGGGAAGGCAGGTTCATGGGGGGATGTTGCTCCCCGGGCAGCAGCCGCTTGCAGCAGGGCTCTCACTTCAGGGCCACCAACCGCCCCGGCCAGATGCGCTGCAAATAAATGARCATGTTTGTGCTGCCCGCCCTGCGCCTGGGTTTTGCTCTTGCTGTTTTTCACCTGGCTGTGGGAAGCTGTTTATTTAGAAATAGTGCTTGGGTGTCTGATCCACGTCAGTACACAATACGTTGYCTCATATTAAAGTGTTTTCCTATAAATCAATACGCTGCACAAAGTGCACAGAGGATCCACAACAGGGAAAGGAGAGGCCTCTGCCTCCGCGCTRTGAGACCGTGGCAGGCTAAGGCGAGGGGACGCGCCGAACGTCTGCCTTTTGACAACTTTATCATCCCCACTCGCAGACCCTTGCTGCACGTGGATTCCTGCGGAACGGCCTCTGCGGCCTGGCACCGCTTCCATGTCTATAAAAGGCACGGAGCTATCGAGCCGGGCGCTCGCCCAGCGCCGTGTCCGCACGGAGCCCGGCTGCTGCGCGCCAGGAAAGCCGCCGCTCCAGGGCCACCGCAGCRGAAACATGCAGCACCTTGGGGATTTTTAAGCAAGCCAAGTCRTATCTTCAGAGCAAACCCCCCCAAACTGATATTCCCAATTCCTCCCAAGCTGCTTAGGGGTGAATTTGGGGGGTCCGTTCTCTGGATTTCCCAAAGCACTGAACTAAGCCCGCTCTGACTCTGCATCCTGGCAGCAAGGGAGCCGAGGAGCGGAGCCCTTTCGAGCAGGGAGGGAAGCAGAGGAGAGGAGCAACCCGTCATTTTTATCGCCCTCGCGGTTAAGGACAGGCTTTTAGCTTTAAGCACAGGCCTATTACTTTAACAGTCCTATCGCTGCACTCGCAGGCAATTCCAAAAGCAAATCAAGGGGGGTTTATTTTATGTGCCCGATAAAACAGCAAACTAATAAGGAGAAGGAAAGGCTTAGGTATGGCTAAAGGTAAGTCGATTCTGAACCAACACCATTAGCTATCTGATAAATTTACTCAAAACAATGCTAAGCATTTCCTCCGAGCAACGTATTTGCGCCTGATAACAACGGGGAAAAGTCAATCCCCAGCCAGCGCCGCAGCCCTAATTGCTCGGCCAGCGCGGTATCTAATCTGCCGTGGGCGCAGGCAGCGGCAGGATTAATCGTGCCACCATGTCCCAATAAAGCGCTGATCGCGCCGGGCCGGCTGAGCCCAGCGGATGAAACATTCCCATTTCCGCCACACGCCGCAAAGCAGCATCTGTGGCTCTGCGCCCGCCGAAACCCCCTCGCCTCCTTTTCTAAACGCCGAATATTTCGGCCCGAAACCCCAGCAGATCCCACCACGTCCCCTCAGCGCCCCGGCCGCCCTCGGCTCGGCGAATTACTTGGTTCAGGCGATGCCATGGTGGAGACGATGACGGGCGGGCCGGTGCGGCGGCTCAGCTTGGCGCAGGGCGAGGGCTGCGCGGCGAAGCCGGCGCCGGCGGGCGCCGCGGGCAGCTCGCCCTGCTTGCGCAGCGCCTGCGGGCTGCCGTGCGGGCTGTGCGCCGGCGACGCCGCGCGCTCCCGCTTCATCAGCTCCATGGGCACCGTGTACGTGGTGGGGTAGGCCGTGCGGGGGCTGGCGTGCGGCGGCGCCGCCATGGGCAGCCCCGAGGCGGCCGGGTAGGCGGGCAGGGCACGCGGGTGCACGTTGCATGGGAGCGGAGCGCCGTAGGCGGCGGCGGGCGGGCACGGCGCGCCCAGCGCCGCCGCCGTCTCCAGCAGGTGCTGTGTCGGGGCGCTGGACGGGCGGCGGTGGAGGTCGGCGAGCCGGGGCGAGCCCGGTGCGAAGGGTGGCGGCGCGGCGGCGCCGTCCAGCAGCGCGCCGTACTCGCCGGGCAGCTCGCCGCGGTGGCTGAAGCTGTTGGAGCGCGTCCGGGCGCGCAGGGCGCCGCTCTTCCTCTCCTGCCTCTGCAGCTGCATCTCCGTCTTGAAGTTGTGGGCCACGCGCGACAGCACTCTGGCTTGCCCCAGGTTGGGCGCCACCGACTTGATGTCGTTCTCCTCCATCATGGCGAGCAGGTTGGGCGAGTCGAAGCCCTGCTGCAGCAGGGCGGCCACGGTGCTCTCRGACACCCCTTCGGCGCGCAGCAGCGCCAGCAGCTCCGGGTCCAAGGCCTTCTTGCCGTCAGCCGCGGGGAAGCCGGGGGGCATCTGCGCGTGCGAGGGCGTCGCGGCTGCCTCGTAGCCGTCGTAGGGCACTTTCGCGCCATCCCTGCCCGGCCCGTAGCCGCGCGCCATGGCTGCTGCGCCCATGTTCCCGTCGGCGGCCACAACGGGATCCACGACCAGGCAGGTGGGCGCCGTCTGCCTGCCCGCCGCCGCCTCCACGCCTCTGTCGGCCGCATCGTTGTAGACGGGCCGGCCGGGGAAGGTGGACGCCTCCGCCGCGTAGCGGGGTGCGGGCGGCTCCGCGCCGTAGCGCGCGGGGGACGCGTCCCTGCTGCGCAGCCTCTGCCCCTCGGCCGGCACCTTGGCGTCRCGGTACGCGCGGCCCGGCTCGTGCGCGGCGGCCGCGCGGCCCGGCAGCGGCTCCCACGAGAGGCGGCTGCCCGGCGCCCCGTAGCCCGGCAGCGGCCGCCCCACCAGGTGCTCCCGGTAGTAGCGGGCGTCTTTGGGCGACCTGGCGCCCAAGGCCGGCTCGCTGTAGTAGTCCTGCGGCGGCAGGGAGCTGCGCCCGGACATGGCCGCCTGCCTCTCGTAGTAGGAGAAGTCTGGCACCGACCCCTTGCGCACGGGGCCCTGGTGGAACGCGGGATCCTGGTAGGGATACGCCTCCTGCTTCAGCTCGGCGCCTCCTTGCAAGATGATATCGTTGGGCCGCTGGTTGGGCTGCTCGTACCAGCCGCCCTCRCCGCCGTAGCTCAGCGAGTTCCTCCTGCCGGGCGCCCGCTGGTACTCAAAGGCATTTTCGCTCTCCCAGTTGCCGTCGTACCAGCCGGTCGCGTCCCAGCTCTGTGAGCGGCCGATGCTGCTGGGCTTGCTGGGGATGGGCATCGCGGCGCAGCCACGTCCCGCCGCCCGCTCCCAGCACACCAGGCGCCTCGCGTCGCTCGCCGGCCCTCACGCGCATCCAAAGCGGCTCCCGAGCCCTTCCCGGCCTTCGCAAACAGCCGCTCGGCGGTTTTGCCTTTCAGAGCGCCACCTAAATTATTAATTTGGAGAAACTTTAGGAGGCAAAGCGCACAGGAGCTGCTGAAACCCGGTCTGGCTGCGGCACGGCGGCAGCAGGGAGCTTTTCTGCGCGATGCACCACGGAGGAGAGCTGCCGCGCTTAATCCAGATGCTTTATCCTTTCCTGCTCGGGACAGTTTGCTCACATGGACAACTGGCCCAGCAGTGTGTGAGGATTAGGAGCTAAATAAAACCTCTAAAGCCTTTGTTCCATGTGACATCATTTTAGCCCGATGAAATCTCCTGCACCGACCTCGCCAGCAACCTCAATACCCGCTTGTCCACTGGGAATCTCTCTCTCTTTTTTTTTTTTTTGCATGTTATTTTTATCCTTTTTTTATCTTTATTCTCACCCCTTCCTTGTAAATTCGCGGTCCTGGGCGCTTCGGTGACGCCTCGGGAGCCGGCGGAGCCGAAGGGACGAGCGCCCACGTGCACGCGCGCGCACACACACACACACACACACACACACGCAAGAAAGCTTCAGTGTCAGATCAATCTTAATCCACTCTGATGAAATGCTAATCCACCGCACACAGCTAAGGACAAATTAAATGGGAACAAGCAGGCCGGCCTAAAAAAAGGCCGGCGGAAGATACTCGAGACTGCAAAAGCGATTAGAAATTAGTTAGGTATCTGTTTAACACTTTATGAATACAGTAATTTGCTTGGGAAATTACATTTCTCAGTCGCAGCTTCAAATTAGCTGTACTAACTAGGCTCCAAAAGGAGTCTTTACATTATTATCATAATACGCAAATCCTTTCATCATCCCAGGACAGAAAATTGTGGAGGTGTAATCTGGAATGTATAATTTTAAGACCCTAGAAGAGGTCAGGGAAAAGGAGGGGAGGATCAAAGGATCTAAGCCCTGATATTACAAAGCAAAAAGGAGTAGGAGACTTTTGCCTGTTATCTCCTGGTTTCCTTCACGAAAGAAAAAAATACATGTTTATGAGATGCAGAATGACTCGGAGACATCAGACAAAACTCAATTTGTATCTAGCAGCATTTCAATATTCATATGGATTAAGCTTTTCTTACACTTAAGAGTATGCAAAAGGATTTAGATGGAATCACCCCACAGAAAATAGTTACTTGGAAGCATAATAAAAATTTCCACATATTTTCAGAAGAGATATTAAAATGGCTCCCAAAAGCACACATCTAAATTGTCACATGCCGCTCACACTCACACATTCCTTTTCACGTACGAATAGCTCAAACACTACTTATTTCACTAATCATTACGGGTGAAGCAACATTTGCCATTTYTAATTAAAATAAGAGAGAGAAAGAGAGAGAGAGAGAGAGAAGGAAAAGATCTGTCCTCTGCTGCAATAAAAAGATCCTTCCTCTCCAACGTGGGCATCCTGGGAGTGAATCCGTGGAAGAAGCAACAGTCACCTCCTTCTCAGCTCGCTTTTTGAGGCAGCCTGMGCCTTCTGCACGGTTAATCCACAATAAATGTTAGTGCCCCGGCCATCACATGATGGAGCATTGTGCTATTATGATAGCTAAATCACTAATACAGCCTAATGCTTCGACTTGCCTATCATACTAATACCTCTGGGCTATATTTCTGACCCAAATACTGACAGGATCTTCTAGTAATCCTTAAATTTCTTTATTGTGGTAAATAAGATAAATCCCCCTCCAACATTCTCCCCTTCAATTGCATCTCCAAGAACCACAGGCTTTAAAATTATGTTGGATATTACACAGACACACGAAACACAGGCCCTGAAAGATTATTTATGCAATTCTCGGAGAATATCTGATTGGCATCATATTGAATTAACTAACAAACTTCAGGCGCATCGGAAAAAATTTCTTCTTTTGTGAGAGCCGAAATGGGAAGACACATTYGTGGTTTATAAATAAAGTAGGGAACATTTTAACAAACAAAAACATTTTATTACAACAACATTTTGCTAAAGAATAAAATGTATTCCCAACTGGATGCTGTACGCTCTGTGCCATTTGTTTGTTCTGAAGCAGCAGAACTACCCAAAATGTATATGAAAAAAACAATAAAATGCTGCTCCCTGGAACAAGGGCATCTTCATCATTGTTTGCCAAGCAATCATCAGCGACCTTAGCCACCCTCTTAGTTACTGGCTGACCGTGGAGAAAAACATGTCATAGAAAAATTGAAATAAAAGCAGATCTCAAACAACTGCAAGGGAAGGTGGAAGGAAGCTTTGACCTTATTACTACCTCTCAAAAACAGCCTTAATGAGCCCTTGGGTGGACACACAGAAGAGACCTCCACTGAAAGAGACCTCACCCAACGATCAGCTTCATGAGTGGTGGCACCCTAAGTGCCAGGCTCCATGTGTGCCCAGGCTCCAGCAGGACCAAGGCATGGAGCTCTGAGCTCTCTCCAGCCACCTTCATGCCTGGACTCCTCCAAACCACCACATGCCTCCATACCAGCCTTCCCATGAAGGGCATCCTCGCACATGAAGGGCATTCCCACCTCTCACACACGAGACCACTGCACAGGGCTACTTGCTCTTCTCTTGCCTGGTGGGAGCCAGGAAACTTCAGCGTTAGACCCGACACCAGGAACACTCATGCATATGGATTATACACGCCATCCACCCTGACCTGGTTGGAACAAATTAACYCTTCCTGTGCTTTAGGGCTAGAAGAAGTGAACGCCTCAAGGACAAGGGACCGTGCATGGTGGTGGGAGCCCATGGTGAGGCTGCCCATTCCCACAAGGCTCAATGGGAGCACAAATGGAAGCAAAAAAATGTTCAGCTCCCAGGAATCAAAAATGAATTAATGGTCGGAATGAAATAGTTACGGATGGGCAGGCAGGGTCTTTGACACTGTGGGAGGCTTTGGATGGCTGGACAGGGGGAATATTTATTTTCCTTTTATCTGGTCATTCTAGAGGTATTTTGGATAAAACAAAAACAAAACAAAACAAAACCCCACAAAACCAGAAAGAGCTGATCAAGAGATTAAATACTCTGGCACTTCAGATGACGTGAAAAATACATGGTTTTGACTTCAAGAACTGGGCTGAGCTTTAGTGTTGAAAACGGAATGATGGATAGCATGGCAGTTGGACCCATCACAAAAACAAAGCCAAAAATCTCAGGCTGGAAACAAGTCTTGGTGGATATGAAATAAGTTTTTTTTCCTCTGCAGTATTAGAAATTGTAGGGAAGAGAAAGCCTGTTTTACATATAGAAATTGTCATGAGAAATCAGGATGCTAAATCTGCAACCCAGCTGTGTAAAAATCATTATTCATGTGTCCGCAGCACTGACCTATGAGGAGGCGGATTAATTTAAGCCATTTCATTCCAAATTTTGGAAAGAAGCTTCGGAAAAAAATACTTTGTGCAAATAAATGTTACTTTTTTTTTAGTTTTAGTTTTTATTGATTTTAAGTATTTTCCAAATACAAGTTTAAATCATGTTTCTAGCAAAAACATGAAATATTTTTCTTTAGGCACTGCGAATCGTTGGTGCCTTCTTCCAAGTCGTTTCCCTTCCAGGGGAAGTGGAACGGAAACAACAGAGCGGATCTGCCAAATGGCATTTCTGGCAAAACCTGCTGCATGAATCTTTCCGCCTCCCTCTGAGATCAATGTTAGCAAGGCTATTTTCCATCAAATGGCAAAAAAATCCTAGCCACGCCAGTGCAAAATYCTCTACAGAACAAATATATCTAGGGTGAATGAAGAGATTGGGCATCAGGACACTCAACTCTTATATTCAGCTCTGCTATCGTCAGCAAATAAATTGCTTGAATACTTAGTCACAGCTTCCCCTTTAATGAAGCAGGTATAACAATAAACAGCCCCCCCCCTTTAGATGTTGTTAAAAATAATGATTTTTGGTAATATGTTCTCAGTTGGAGGGGTAAAAAGCAGCAGAAAGTTAGTGGAGGGTAAATGCTGCTGTCCCCTGCACTCGGCAGGTCTGTGTGTCCTTGTGCTGGTAACTCCTACAGCCATAAATTTGGAAAATAAAATAAAATAAAATAAAATAAAATAAAATAAAATAAAATAAAATAAAATAAAATAAAATAAAATAAAATAAAATAAAATWAAATWAAAWTAAAATAAAATGGAGGAAGAAAAGTGGAAAGGAAATGGCCAAAATGTTTGGAAACTGCTGCATTTGCTAAAATTTGGCTCGGCGAAAGTGTCATTTGCCGCAGCAAAGAGCACACTGTGTAGATGGACTTTGCCACCGCCTCCCAGAATTAGAGGAGCACAAAGAGGAAATTAGCAGGATTGTGCAGGAATGATTTGCAGTAATCAAGGGAAGGGAGCCGCATCTGAGAGCACTCAGCGTGTGACCACGGGCCACATGCTCAGACTCATCTCCAAAGGAGGGAGGTTTCTGCACCGTGAGCACCGGGCAGGGGACTSCCACGAAACCACTAAAGAGCAGCCCCTTGCTGAACAACCTCCGCCTTGCCCGACTCCAGATTTTCAGTGCTTTGCAGAGAAAAACAAAAGCTTACGTCCATTTGTAACTCCAGCCCCTGATGCTGGGATATAAATTTAATGTGAGCATTGGCTCACACAAATTACAGGCTGGAGGAATGCACTGAAACGGGCTACCGGGCAACGTTGTCTCCTTCTTGCTCCATTACGCGATGTTGCAAGACCTTGCCTTGATAGGTGAAAAGCAACCACCCAATAACAGAAGCGTGGCAAAATACACTTGCATTTAAAACAGAAATCGCAGCTGTAAAGCACACTTTGAGGTGCTGGAAGGAGCACTGCGGGCTTTTGAAGCATTCAGCCACAAGCAAAGTTGCCTTCAAGTCTTGGAAGGCTCCTATAAAAG